ATCATCATCATCATCATCATTCCCCTCACAATATATAGCTCACCTTGGGAAGATAAAAGAATGGTCCATCTCCATGCTCAAACATTTTCTTTCCATTATGGAAGATATGCAAACCAAAATCAAAAAAAGCACCTGGAATAACCTTGCCTTCAACCTGTAGAGTTGTTAATCACAAGTGGGAATGAAAAAACCTGAAACATCTTAAAACACCCATTGTTATTCAGAAAGTGTTCAAAGCTAAGAAACCATCATATGTACCATCATGTTATGTTCCAACATGTTCCATGCTCGAGGTCTTAGTATGACAAGAGGAGCATGCGACATTGGCGGCACATCTGAAAATATGAAATGTAATATATTATTAGATGGATGTAGCACTTATAATATGAATAAATCACATACTTTGGTTCTRACCTGAAATAATATCTCATAATATCTCATGGGAAAACAAATATAGCATTCTTGGGACTATATTCCTTGGTCCAGAATTCACTATCAATTGAAGGAATTGACCTAAATGTATTACTACATCATCCTTAGACAGCTATCACTATCTGCTGGTAAATGAGGGGGTAAATTTATATGAAATCCAATGGAAAGTCCAAGAAAATAGAAGCGTTATTATTAAGAACATTTCATGCTATTAAGTCCTGCCCCATCCCAATTGTACCTGTCATGCTCCCATTTACAAACTGGTAGACATTAAAAAGTCCTTTTAGCTGATTGGCCCATGTAGGACAATGCCCATCGTCAAAATCTGTCTATTAGTATAACATAAAAATATATTAATAGCAATGATATAATTATTATATAATCAGCATTTGCTTTCATAATTTTAACCTGCTTGATCAAATAAAGAATGTATGTATGTATTACTCTTACTCCAATACAACAAAGTTTTCCAGCCTCCCCTCCCCCTCTCCTAGCTAAACACGATCACCTGACCCCCAGCCTCCCCTCCCTTCATGCACACTATAATGTAGACAAAATCTTTTAGGCCCCCGTTAATTATTCTACATGAAAATTGCTTATTGCGTTACCAYTGACTCAAAATTAACTTTTGAGGAACATTTAAATGTCCAGCTTAATAAGGCTTATGCTAAGACAAACGCTTTACGTAGAATAAGACGTTTAGTTCCAGCGCATGTTATGATTCAATTATATAGGGCTTTTATTTTGCCTCATCTTGAGTATTGTAGCCCTGTGCTGGTGGGAATATCTAAGT